TTGCTCTCTCTCTCTCCCTCTCTCTGTGTCTCTCTATTTCTACCGGAGAGTGTTTTGTTTCCTGCATCTGCTGCTGAATGAATGCAAAAATACACAATTTGAAGGGGTTTTGTTTTTTAGGCTAACAGTAGGAAATCTAAAATCTTGCTCTTCTGAATGGCTTTATATGCCAGTCACTCAACACATAATGTTTATAGTTTATAGGAAGAGGCATATACAGAATGAAGAATCTTGTTTTTAGAGCAAATACAAAACCATGACTAAAACTCCTTTTACTCCTCAGATACTATTCCTATTTTATTTACTTAATTATTAGCACTTACCCTGAGATGTGCCATAAATGCTCTATTCCAAATGTATAAAAGCCAACCACATCTCAAATGGGAATTAAACAGTTTTAATGTCTTCAAATCCATGTCCCTGCTCCAAAGCCTGATACAGTCACTGGCAGCGGTACAATAGTTCTACACAGCAGACATCTGATTCTTGACATTTAAAAATAACAATATTGGGGATAAAAGTGTCTTTTTTAAAATTAACTACAAACAGCTTGTGAGTGAGCACATTAAAACCAATTGACTGTGATCACCAATTGACTACATTAACTGGAACTTGCGATGATTTTAAACTACACTATTTTATTTTAAATCAATGTCAGACAGAGGCCAAATACCTACAGACTTCTATTTTTGATATAATCATTGTAATGGCCTATGTTAAATTAAATCTAAGGCATAATTTTGCAAAGGGAGAATCAGAACCTTGCTAGTATTTAGATGCTATTACTGGTGACTATTAATTTAACCTTTGTTTGGTCTTGAATAAAATTAGGGATCTTTCAGTCATTCTGTTGCTTGCCTAAGAAGGGTCACATTTCATGTAGATGCAGGCACATATATAAGGTCAAATGAACACATAATCTGCTCCAGAATAAAATGAGTAATAAAATGAAACAGAAAACCCCACACATTTATTTCTATTTCTGAAGCACTTTAGAGACTTACACCAATCTGGGATCAAGTCTTAGCTCTTCCACTTACTATATATGCATTTCTGGACAAATGACTTAATCTTTTGTGCCTCATATTTGTTGTTTGTAAACTGGAGTAAATATACTGGAGTGTAATATACTTTACAAAGTTGTTTTAGGTACTAAATGAGATACTGTATGGTTTGGGCACATAAAAGATATTTGATATCTGTCACTTCCACTGTTTCATATTTGCAAGGGGGTAGGTTTCGGGCATTGTAAATGGAAAGAGTCCAGACTCTGCAGGCAAACAAGTCAGTTTTGACCCACCATGTTGCCATGTACTAGCTGTGTGTCCCTGGGCAAGTTACTTAACCTAATTTATTAAATCTTAGTTTCTTCAGCTGTAAAATACCTCCTAGTTTTAAAGTGCAAATTAGATAACATTGGGAGAACATTCACTTTTGGTAGGCATTTGTTAAATAAGGCCTCTAGGCTCTTGAAAATTGCTCTAATTAGTACTCTGCATATGCAGCTTAGGAGTTTAAAGATGTAGACTGAGATCACAAGGCCTTTAGGTCATGTGTCTCACTTTACAGCAGAGGAAGGAGACTCGGAGAGCTGAAACAATGGTTTCAAGCAACGTCAACATCACTAGTTAGTGGTAAATAGGGACTAGAACACAGACCCTCTTATTTAAGTTCAAGCTTTGTACACTTAACCCTGTGATGTTCAAGTTGAACACATTTGGAAATCTAATTTCAATACTAGTTGGTAATTAAAGCAACACAACTAAAAAAAAAAAAACAAAAACCTTCCCTCTCTCAAAGTCCCCAAATTTGCTTCTAAGAATGAGCTTATAAATGAAAGTATTCCACAGGAGCTGGCAGAAGCTGGCTACATCTATCTTTCTGAGAGGAACTTGCGCAGGATAGCAGACTGTTCCTTTCCTCTAGAGCAAGAACAGACTTGGAGAGATTGTCCAGTTCTCAAGAGTTTCCCATTCTCCTGCCTTCTCTGGTGAATGTCCAACTCCTTCTTTTTCTTTAGAGAACTCTTCATCCTTAGTGCACGGGTTGGGAAGAACACAGTTTCTACATTTAAGTTTACTCACTAAACATATTACCTCCCCACATTGAAATATAGATTTATTTCAATTTGAAAGTCTTTCACAGAATCTGAGCCCAATAAATATCAACATTTGTTAAAGAAGATATAACTTTGCTCTCAGTTTATATTTAAAGGCTTGACCTAGTGTGGTTTAGGGTTAATTATTGCCCAATGTAGAATAGAAAGTACTAATTTTTTCAATGTTTTGATAATTTTAGAATTAAAAACAAATGTGCTTTGGTTATTACTCTGAGGAGGAAGGATGAGAAAGGGAATTGAGGAAGATAGGTACATGTGGGATCTCTTGCAGTTAATGTTTTATTTCTACAGCTGAGTGGTGTTGGGTGTTTGTTTTACTTTTTTTAAATACCTTTTTATAAGCCTCAAATACTTCATTTTAAAAATTGATTTAAAATGAGGTAAATACTTAGAAAATAGAATTTCCAAAATTTTGCTAGAAGATCTACTAGTGTGCTGGTGCTGAAGCCTATATTTCAATCTTCAAGTTCTCATTTTCATTTTACTATAGAACTTAAATAATACATTTACTTTAAAGATTTTTTCTCCTTGCTCAACATTTTTCACGTTCGAGTGTTGTGCTGGGGTGTGCAGGAAAGGGCTATTTTGCATCACAAAGGTCTAAGTCTGAATCTCAACTCAGTTCTGTCATTTACTGACCATGTGGGTTTCCTCTCTTGTAAAAACAGAATATTAATAATCTAGCTCTCAGAATTATTATGAGGATTAAATAAAAAAGAATGTGAAAACACTTGCTACAGCATCTGTTATATAGTAAATTTTCAATTAATATCAGCTTCCTTCTTTCTTTTCTTATCCTTCCACTTTTCACCCCTACTTGAGCTTTTTACTTCAGAAAGTATAAAAAAGAAAGAGAAGTAAATTTAAAGTAGGAAGAATATAGACAATTATACTAGCATCATGAAAGCATTTCACAACTAACAAAGGCTGGTCCCAGATGCATGTAGAATATTCTTCTTCAATCTGATATTTCTCATCTAATGTCATCATTACTTATTAAAGTCCAATTTTTAAAAAAAATTTCTTTGGAACATAATCAACAAAAGAAAAAAGCAAACAAAATATAACCAGTCATTGAAATTAAGAACAATCTAACAATAACGGGGGCGGGGGGGGGCAGTGGGGAGAAGGATTTTCAGGAATTACTGTAAAGGACACATGGACAAACCAAGGGGGAGGGTGGAAGCAAGGGAAGGAGATGGGTTTGAAGGGGGTGGGTGGGGAGGGGTGGGAAGAAAATATGGACAACTGTAACTGAACAACAATTAAATAATTTTAAAAATGTTTTGTTTTTGCTGCTAGTCACAGAAACTTTATAGATAAAATATTCTGTTCTAGGGCGTCTATCTTATTCATTATTCATTCTTTCTTCAAGATGGATATTCTTATCAAAATACTTTATTCTCAGTGGTAGATGAGATTTGTGTGCTTAAGGCATTTAAAAAATTTGTAAGGCAAAATTAAAAATTTATAATATATATTCCTTATAATATCCATTATAAGGGATGTATATTAAGAGGTTTGGGTTCTAGTCCTACCCCTGCCACATACTAACCTATTAAACCTTTACCTTTCTTTGAGTATAGTTTTTTATGTGCTAAGTGAGGAGATTGGATTAAATTATCTCTTTAGCTCTGACTTAGGCAATATCACTCTCAGTGGGAAATACTGACCATGTAATTTTATGTTGTTTGTGAAAACTATGCCCATTTTGGTGGCTTCTCCTGGACTCTGGAAATGGGCTCTGGCACTGTCCCTGGCCATTGACACCAGCCTAGAATATTCTCAGGGCTGGTGGCGGCATGTCCAAGGGAGCCAGGTTTGTAAGGAGGAATTCAAAGAGACTAAGAAGATAAACTCAGGGGAAGACATTTTTCTCTCATTTTTAAAGGTGGGAATGGGAAAAGGTTATGTCATACTTTCATAGTACAGTAAAAACTGTAAAATAAGATGGGGATAGCAGGAAAAAACAGAGGGAAAAGATATACAAGGGTCACTTATGAAGGGCTGCATCTTGGGAAAAAATGGCAATACTGGAGGAAAGAGGTAGGGAAGAAAAAGACCCTTTCCCTGTTACTTTTATCCAGGTGAAATCTAGTTTAAGTGAATTGGAGGGCAGTAGGAAAAACATGAGACTGTGGTGGCAGGGGAGGAGCGGCCTGCGGTGGGTCTGTACCTGTGTTGGAATTACACACCAATACTAATTGCATTTTGTGTGGATGCTTCCCCTTTTTTCTTCCTTGTCTCTGTTGTGCTAGGTCTCTGCAGCTGTGCTTGTCAGGTCCCCATACTGGCTCAACCTCCACCTTCTCAGGGCTCAAAGCAGCGTCTCTATTCCCTGTGCTCTGAGGGTGGGGGCTCGGCTAGGAGTGTGGTTAGTGCTGGCGCTGGTGTGACAATTGCAGTGGTGAAGACATAGATCAATTTTCCCAAAGTAACAACTTCAGGCAGACTTTTACAACAACAAAACAAAAACAGAAACAAAAACAAAAACAAAAACAACTCTAGATAGATGTAATTAAACTCTTTCCAAAATTCCAAAGGTCATTGTTGACTTTTGTAAAAAGGTGGACTTCTTTTAAAATTCTGTGTAGACTTCCCTTTCCTCTCCTCTCTATCCCATGATCCTTCAGACAAAAGAAGAACACAAAACCTTAATAACTCCTTGCTTTTAGGTAGGTATGCTTTTCAAAGTCTTTTATACACAAGATAACTAGATGAAGTTGGTAGCAGGTGTGCTTCCTGATAGGCACACTTAGCCACAGAAATGTTAAACAATGTTCATGCAGACAACTCATAGTAGAGCCAAGACTATAACCAAAGACACCACACAATTAGCAGGTACAAATTTTAAACATCCATCACCCCACAGAAATGGTACCTGAAGGTACTGGCAGGAACGTTCTTGTTGACACGACTCTGACTTCACCATGGCCTGGTCCATGTTAACTGAAGCTTTCTGGTAAACTTCCCGGGCTCGGCTCACGGTCAGAGTGGAGGACCAGGCGCTCTTCTTCAGGAGCGGTGCGTCCAGGGTGACCGGCAGGTTGGCACAGGTGGAGCACTTGACGTCATTGTTACTCCGGGAGGTCTTGACTGCCTGCTCACTGATGGTGTTGTAGGTCTCCATGAAGTACTGCGAGGCTGAGCGGTCGGGGCACCTGCCCATGGTCATCACACTCGAGGGGGCATGGTAGATGCACATGTCGCCGTCCAGGTTATCATCCGAGCTCCACCAGCCTGGGGAGGTGTTGGGTCGGGCCTTGGGCTCTGGGCGCCGCTCCTTGCTCTTGCTGCGCTTGCCATACCTCACAGTCTGCGTCTCGTCGGGGCTCGCTTTGCCCCCGTTGACGTTGCCTTTGGATGGCCCCTCCAAGGAGTGGGACTTGGTGAAGAGCTTCTGGACTGAGTGGACCAGGTGGCGGATGCGGCCAGGGCTGTCGCTCCGGTGCTCCACGGCCGTGCGCTTGTACTGCAGCGTGTGGTAGCCATCCCGGTTGAGCGGCAGCTGCCTCTCAAACTGATCCAGGAGGTTGGGGGGGAGGCGATTGGCCTTGGTGGCCAGGGTGCGGGGTACCAGGGCGCACTCGTCCTTCAGCTCCTGCTGTGAGTTGTAGTGTCTGCGTGGAAAGGTACTGCTGGCCAACGGGTCGCTGAAGGGGCCCACACACTCTGCCTGGAAGGAGTTGCGCTGAGTGTAGTAAGGGTGGTCCGCTGGGTGATGCTCCACCGGGCTCAGCAGATATGGCTTGCGGTCTGAGTGGTGTGACAGTGAGTCACAGGCGGAATCACAGGTGACTCCGTGGTGATGGCTGCGGCTGCCCGATAACCCTTTCATTGCTGATGGGGTGCAACCGCGGGGGTCATGGACTCCCAGTGGTCAGGTTCCAGACCCGTCTCCGCAAAGACCTGGGAGAATGAACAAGCAGGGGAGGAAATTGTTAACACGTCCTTTGATAAATAGATGCAGCTCTGTTTTGCTGTGTTATTTGCTACTGCGTTTGTTTTCTGGCAGAAGAACTTATCGCTGTCACTAAAAGCTGCTTCAATACATCATTGTAAAAACCCTATCACCTCTGTAGGGTGGGAAACCTGGCTCCAATCAGAAATGGGGAGTCTGTAGGGTGTGAGCTAGGAAACCTGGAAAACTACAGAAATGCTAAAGTGTTTTAAAATTATTTGAAAGAGAACCCCCTTCCTTTCTCTCCATGATTCCAATAACTGGTTGTATCTTTCCCTCGCTTCTCTGGTTTTATTCTCAACTGTATGTTAATGGGAAATCTAACACACCAGAAAGGCTCACTTCCTCTGCGGATGCTCCTTTGCAGACAGAACTACTTCCCTTTTGCGTTCCCCAGCATCTGTTCTCTCAGCTCCTGTGGAGTTGCCTTGGGCTTTCCTGGGTAGCGTCAGTTCCCTGCACACTGGCCTACATCTTAGTCACCTTTACATCCCTCTCCTAGGCCAGCCCTGTAGACACATGGTAAGCATTCCATAAATGTGAGTAAAAAGGAACAAATAAAGGAGTATACTGGCACCTTATAACTAGAGGCTGTATCTATCTCTGTCACATGCTTTCCCCTTAGAATTCTGCGGTACCAATTACAGCACAGAAGCAGCACCCACCCCCAACCCTGTGTGGTAATCAGAGTTGAAAAACGAAATGGTCTGGCAAATAAACCAGAGCTGTAGAGAAAATCTGCCCCTTTGTTTCTGTCATCAGAGGGTCAACAAACCGAGAGCAGCTGAAGAACCAATAAGTTTGAGTCAGCTAGTCTGAATATCATGGCATTTGCTTTTCCTGGTTTAAAAGTTTCTGGTTAAATGTTCATAAATGATTTTGAGCCAGACGAAGGAAAGGTCCTTGAATTGTTCCTGAGAAATGGAAACACCTGGGGCTCAGGATCTGCTCAGCCTCGGTGAGAAGCTGCCCCTGCAGATCCAGCTGCGGGAGCTCATTTCATTGAGAGCCCAGGTCTTCCCCAGCTTTAGTAAACTGAGGCTGCAACTTCGCCAGGCAGAGGGCTTTCCTCCTCTAACAGAGTGTGTTCTTCACTCACTGACGAAGTTCCACTTGACAGCTTGAGATTTTTTTAAAGCTTCCTTTTTAAATATGGATTTAAACATAAAAAAGCAAAAATAATAATCTAGTAGGATTATAGTCATATAATGTTTTATGATTACACATAAAGAATCTCGATATATAAAATAATATGAAACAATGCTTCAAACTTTCCTTCCAAAGAAGCTAGGGTCTTGGATAGACATTTTCTGCTAAATAAAATGTGAAATTAACAAGAGATGAAAACATGAATTATACATATTTACTCCAAAAGATATGATTATTCAAATCATGTATTTAATATTTAGTTATTTTTAACACATAAACAGCATTTCATGTAAGATGATGTTACTTGAGGACAATAGCAAAGAGCTTCTTTAAAGCCATTAATGGTGAATTAGTTATATGATATAACCAATGATAATTTTTGTAATGAAACATAGTGTGATTTTTACTGAAATTTAAGTGGGCTATTTTCAGCAGATTGACAAGCACTTATATTTACTTAGAGGATAATAAATTGCATCAAAGATAAATAAGTTAAATTCTCCTAACTTAGGTAATATTTGTAAAAATATATTAAAATCTTAATCTTTTTTTCTATGATATGGGCACATAAAATTATGAAGAAATGACAATACATAATCATACACATTTTTATTTTATTTTTAATTTAATTTTATTGATTATGCTATTACAGTTGTCCCATTTCCCCCTCTTCATTCCCCTCCACCCTGCCCACCCCCTCCCACCCACATTCCTCCTTTTTAGTTCATGTCCATGTGTCATAAGTTCTTTAGCTTAAACATTTCCCATACTATTCTTACCCTCCCCCTGTCTATTTTCTGCCTACCATCTATGCTACTTATTCTCTGTACCTTTCCCCCTCTCTCTCTTCCTCCCACTCTCCTGTTGCTAACCCTCCATGTGATCTCCATTTCTGTGGTTCTGCTCCTGTTCTAGTTGTTTGCTTAGTTTGTTTTTGGTTTTGCTTTAGGTGTGGTTGTTAATAATTGTGAGTTTGCTGTCATTTTACTATACATTTTTTATCTTCTTTTTCTTAGATAAGTCCCTTTAACATTTCATATAATAAGGGCTTGGTGATGATGAACTCCTTTAACTTGACCTTATCTGAGAAGCACTTTATTTGCCCTTCCATTCTAAATGAAAACTTTGCTGGATAGAGCAATCTGGGATGTAGGTCCTTGCCTTTCATGACTTGGAATACTTCTTTCCAGCCCCTTCTTGCCTGCAAGGTCTCTTTTGAGAAACCAGCTGACAGTCTGATGGGAACTCCTTTGTAGGTTACTGTCCCCTTATCTCTTGCTGCTTCTAGGACTCTCTCCTTCATTTTTTTAAAAGATTTTATTTATTTATTTATTTTTAGAGAGGGAAGGGAGGAAGATAGAGAGAGAGAAACATCAATGTGCGGTTGCTGGGGGTCATGGCCTGCAACCCAGGCATGTGCCCTAACTGGGAATCAAACCTGCGGCACTCTCTCTCCTTCATTTTAATCTTGGCTAATGTAATTATGATGTGCCTTGGTGTGTTCCTCTTTGGGTCCAAGTTCTTTGGGACTCTGGGCTTCCTGGACATCCTGGAAGTCTATTTCCTTTGCCAGATTGGGGAAGTTCTCCTTTATTATTTGTTCAAATAACTTTTTCACTTGTTGCTCTTCCTCTTCCCCTTCTGGTACCCCTATAATTCAGATGTTGGAACATTTAAAGATGTCCTGGAGGTTCCTAAGTCTCTTCTCATTTTTTTTGAATTCTTATTTCTTTATTCTTTTCTGTTTGTTTCTTTCTTCCTTTTGGTCCACTCCATTGATTTGAGTCCCAGTTTTCTTCCCATCACTATTGGTTCCCTGTGCATTTTCCTTCATTTCACTTAGCATAGCCTTCATTTTTTCATTTAATTTGCGATGAAAATCAACCAATTCTGTGAGCATCCTGATTACCAGTGCTTTGAACTGTGCATCTGATAGGTTGGCTATCTCGTGGCTGCTTAAAAGTATTTGCTCTGAGGCTTTGATCTGTTCTTCCCTTTGAGCCTTTTTTCTGTCTTGTCGTGCCTTCATGTATATGAGGGGTGGAGCCTTAGGTGTGCACCAGGAAGGAGCAGCCCAGTCGCAGGGTTGTGACATTGTCTGTGGGGCAGAGATCAGAGAGGGAACCTTGGCGCTTGTTCCGCTCTCTCTGGGATTTCAGTCTCTTCCGCAGCTTCCCCCAAGCAAATTGGGCCCTTCTGGTGATGATTCCCGGGTGGGTGGGCTTGTGCACATTCTAGGACCCTGTGGGTCTCTCCAACGAACTCTCGTGTGAGGCTGGGAGTCTCTCCCACTGCCTCAACTGCCACAGGTGTTTCCAATTGGTGGTTTGAGGCTTTATTTCCCCGAGCTGGGGCCTTGGGCTGAATGGTCTGACTCACTCCCCAGCTTTGCCTGGTTTGTCTGCATGCAAAGGTGGGACCTCCAGGTCAGCTAGCCACCCTGTGCTCCTCACTGGGTCTGCCAGCCGCCACCTGCATGCTCGGTCCGTCAGCCACTGCCTTGTGTGCTGAGGTCCGTAAGCCACCGCTTTTTTTTTTCTTTCTGCGACCACTCTCTGCCTGGTGTCCGACTCCACCCAGTTGCCCAACTCCTCCCCTCCTACCGGACTGGATGTATGTGTCTGACTCCTTGATTGTCGGACTTTTGTACAGTTCAATTTTCTGTCAGTTCTGGTTGTTTTTTTATTTCTAAACTTTTGTTGTCCTTAGTTTGGTTGTGCGAGGAGGCACAGTGTGTGTGCCTACACCTCCATCTTGGCTGGAAGTCCTCATAATCATTCACATTTCTAAATGCTCAATCTATCTTTCTGGATAAGGCCAAATAAATGACCTAATACCCCACCCCCTTCTAAAAATTATTTTTCCCTTTCTTCTGTCCTCTTGTTATTTTAAAAGAAAAATAGATTGATTTGTGATTTTCAAATAAAGCAACACATACAGTGACTTCCCCATGATCAGGGCAGGTGATCCAAAACTCTCAGTGGATTTGTTGGTGGTGTCTACCAATGTCTTGTTCTTCCTTCTCTCATTCTTTGTTTTCCTTTTTCCTTACTCTTCCAGCACACATCTTTCTGCCAGTCTTTTTTTTCTCCTCTCATTGTTAATGTTTGTAAGTGGCATCCATGAACCTTGTTTGCTCTGGGCTGTGCTGTGACTGGGTAGTCCTCATGTTCAGGGCCCAGTGTTAGCTGCAGTAGACAAGCACACATGTACTGCAATCCCAAAAGGCCAAAAGGCTTGTGATGGGCTCATAGGGATATCATCTCATCATGAAATAACATAAATAACAATTCTTATTAAATTCTGCATTCTTGGAAAAGGAAACTGCTAGCCCCTGAATTAGATTTTAAGTGGCCATATAAGATTTCTGAAACTATAAAGGAAAATGGCCTAGCATGCCTTTCTCTTTGAGCATGGGTAGCGACTGTGGGTCAATATGCCTTCATAATGGTTTCTATGATTAGAGTGACCATCTTTTTTTTTTCTTGTCCACTGTGACTTTAAAACTATGTTTTATTGCCTTGGCTGGGTGGCTCAGTTGGTTGAAGTTTCATTCCTTACACCAAAACATTGCAGGTTCTATTCCTGATCAGGGCCATACCCAGATTGTGGGTTTGATCCCCGGTTGGGGTGGGTTCAGAAAGCAACCAATTGATGTTTCTCTCTTACATTGATGGCTCTCTCTCTCTCTAAAAAAATCAATAAAAACATATCCTTGGGTGAGGATTAAAATTATGGTTGTTGTTCTCCTAAGTTTAATTTAATATCAGACAACATGTCCTGACTTTGGGGTTGGAAA